CATTTACCCCCACCGGAGGCTTCAGCTGATTCACTCCAAGTCTTCAAGCTGGAGGTAGAATCAATGATCAAGGCCCTCAGCCTGACAGCAGATACAAACGGGGCTGAGTGGGTCTTGAAAATAATTGTCCAGGAGAAAATACCTAGGGACATATTGAGACAAATGAGTGTTCATTACAATAAAAGTATCTTATCCATGAATGAAATATCTGAGGGTTTACGTTCAGTAGTTCATCAATTACGAACACATGACAAATTAAAACCACCAAGTAAACCTTCAGAAACCAATAATAGTAAACCACAGAGTACCAAAGGTACTCCAAATCAATCTAGACAATATAATTCAACACCAAAGTGGAACAGTGGCAGTGTGGGCGTATATGCAGTGGGACCCTCCAAGCCTATAGTTACTGTGTCACCCAAGACCGTGACTCCAAAGTGTACTGGAAGCTATGGAACATGTTTGTTCTGCAATGAGAAACATTCAATGTACCACTGCCCTAATTTTCCTGATAGTGACGCCCGTGTTGAGCGACTCAAAGATTTGCAACATTGCATGAGGTGCCTCAGGAAACATAACATCAACGACTGTGATACCCAATTACACACCTGTAATAGGTGTAACAAGGGTCAGCACCATGCAGCATTGTGCAGAGACACCAAAACAAAGTCTCCAAACCCCAAGGTGGAAGATATCATTCCCACCACAGTACAGTTCTGCAAGGTGCAACAGACAACGAGTGTCCAATCGGCAAAGTCTAAAGGTAATACGACTTTGCCTACTGACCAAATTACCATCCAGAATAAGAGGGCCAAGGTCCATACCCGTGGGTTGTTTGACCAAGGGTCCCTGAGAACACATGTCACTAAAAAGTTGGCAGATGAACTACAATTAATGCCTGTAGCCCCAGACGACAATCAACATCTTAGGGTGTCTAACAGATACAGGACCTCAAGTCTACCAGATGGTACAACCATCAGTACGTTTAGGCAGCTACGTTTGTCAAGTACAAGCTATTGTGGTGGACAAAATACCAGCAGACCTACAAGTACAAGGTCTGAGAGCAACAGCCAAATTCCTGAGAAATTAAGGAATAAAATTGGCAGATAATATTAAGTCTGATCACCTCACCGACTTCGGTATCCTTGTAGGTACAGACTACTACCATCGATTCATCGATAGCCCTACTAAATATCAGGGCATAACCATGCTAAATTCTGCAGGAGGTAAATTACTCTCAGGCCCAGTGTTAAGCCTGAGGAGAACTATGCCTGCAGATAAACAATACCAGTAGAAATCTAAATTTGTCAGCTGATTATATTTCTCCAGTAGCATTATACTAAGGAGATTACAGCTGACTATAACAACAGAGGTTGATCTTAATATCATCATTTAAAGCTGAAGATGAGTTCATGAGGCTTCAGTGGCAAATCAGTGAACAGTAGCCTAAACAGCTACAAGTCACTGCGACCAATGTCACTGAACCCACTGCAGTCTCAGAACCATACTTGACTTTAATGATGGACTATTCAATCCTCTGAATCAACTAACTAAATTAAACCCCAATAAATCTGACGACTGATTTTGATACATTTATTATTTAATCAAGATGAATTCCATGGGCCTCAGTGTTTATATATCAGTGACCAGTTACCTGAACAAGCTTCAAGTTATATCTAATGTCACTGATCTCACTGCAGTCCCTGAATCATACTTGACTGTAGTACTTGATCACATTCAGTCCTCTGGGTTAAATAATATGTAATTAGGCTAGAATTTTAGCCTCTCAAGAGTTAACAGGGAAATGAAATCGCATTAGACTTCTAACCCCTGCAACTCTAGTACGGGACATCCGTCCTGTACGAACAGACGCACAAATGTGTGATTACTAACTACTAACATCAAATTAATCTAATAATTCGAAGGAGGAGTATCGGTGTTCGTCTGTTCTAAATAGGACTTCGACCCGTGAGCAGCCCCCCGGGGAATTATGTCGGAAAACCCGACACCATTTAATAATATTACATACAATATGCAGATAATATTGCTGCTGTGTTGTATACACAAGTTAACCCATAGAAAATGTAGCTTGTAGTGGAATTTTCCATCAATAGAAAACGGGATATCATTGCCACATAGTACTATAAATTCACCAGCTATTCTGTTGGGAATTATTCTTAAATACATTAGTCTCTGGACTTTTACCATCATAAAAACATCTCATTTGAATTAACTTAATTATCAGTATCAAAATAAAGTAAATGTGACCCTTCTATCACTTACTGACATCTGGACAAAGAGAGCCAAGGCGTCAGTGAGGAGGAAGAGAGGTCTGCCATTGTTGTTAAGACCAGAGTCGCAGTGGAGCAAATTCTGCTCCTATAATTTCTTTTGGACGAAGTGTTATGGAGATCAATAGTGGTCTTCCATCATCAACACCCTGTCAACATAATCAAGGAAAGTGTCCAACCGAAACCCGTTTATCTAATCATTTCTGGCCAGTTAAATGTTAGGTAGATAAGGGCGAATCAGTTAGAATGCGAACCCACCACATAATAAAAGGTAATTAAGCCTTGGTCCTTATTATTTAATATACAGTGTTTTCTCTGATATAGCTGTCATATATTAGGATTCTGGCTTTACAGCTAGTGCCCTTTGACAGGAACAAGAAGAGGAAGCAAGACTTGATACATCAGTTACTGGGTGATGGAAGCTAGCCTCAAACGAGGATAATTTGGTGTCTACATCCTAGTTATACCTGGTGGACTAAGCCTGCTGTACAATAAGATAAGGAACCTCCTCAAGGTATACCAATATATGTAGTTTAATACTGTAGTTTGATTGGCTGCATATATATAAATTTAATATAAACCCCCCTAATGTGTCAGGATCGATTTGTGAGATTATTACAGAAATACAGTAAATATATGTATGTAAGGTGTGTGTTTTTACATACATTAAATACAAAAACCATTATTCAAAAAACGTTTCCCAAATAATTATTTTTTTATAAAATTATTTTTTTTAATTATTTTTGACAAAAAAAATAGAAAAAACACAGCTGAAACAATGGTGGTCATCGTGTTGTACCCAGAATATTGTGTCAAATATAGTTAGTAGGCTTTCTCGCAATGTACAGCAGTGTAAGGTTATGGGGCGTGTGAAGGAGTTTATGGTCGTTTCAAATCAATTCGAGGCAGTGTGTGGTGAGCATCTCCTGGTCAATGGTCAGGGTAGGCCAGGGGGTCACCCAGGACTCGAGTAGAAGCAGTGATTCAGAGAGATGACCGGAAGTGCAATTAGAGACGGTCTTGTCAGGTCTCGTGGGTGTGAGAACACAGAATCACGTGTTGACCAGAATAGGCTGAATCAAAGAGATGCCAGCAGGTGGTACGTCTCGGAGCCGGAAAGGGTATCGATGCAGGAGGCCAGGACAGATGGTGAGGCTCAGCGATAGTAGCTGAGTGTTGGTTCGACGTGTCTAGCTGGTGGCTGCCTAGCCACCTAGCTGGTGGCTGACTAGCCATCAGTTAGGTGGCTAGGCAGCCACCACCCGCCCAGTGGTCACAGACCTCCCTGATGGATGCTGGGAGTTGGTTTCTTGGGCAACACGTGTGAGTATGAGCGAGTAACATTTGGCTGTAGTTTTGAGAGAGGGCTAAGGTTGGTCTCCAGAGATTAGACATTTAGAGATAACAGATATTAGGATTTAGGATGTTACTAGCGGTGGCTATGTGGATTTCGTATTGTGACTCACTGTGAAGTTATGGGTTGGGGTGTATTTATCTGTGAACCATATAGACATGGTTAGTTGTATCATGAATATGAAGAAGTTATGTTTACTTAGCAGTGTTGCTTTAGCCTCGTGTTGCTGCCATGTGGGTGGCCTCTGTGTATGAGGCGGGTGCTGGCAATTGAAGAGTATTGGTGTTATGAATCAATAATGCCAGATTCTGCCGTTTATCATGATAAATAATTTATGTTCATATATTCTTTCATCACTTATTGAGAGATTAGCATTAGTTTTCAGTTGTTTTCTAGTATATATGTTTGAGTTAACTGTAGCATGCTGTAGTGTGCTTGAAGGATTTATTTCTTTGTTATTATTGCATGTTTATTCATGTGGGGGAGACAGTGGCGTCTCATGGGGATGACCATATATGGATGTTCCAATGATGCGTGCAGTGTACCCAACATAGCGTCACTAATTTACCCTATAATTATTCAGTTTCTTCCATGTACATTACATTTAATTACATCTTATTAGTGTTAAATGTATATTAATGTATTTACAATATGTTCGTAAGTATTACTCTCAAACAGCAGAGTATCTAGAGATTTCACGAGTTCTTTAGTTGGTAATGTGTAGACGCCACCGAAGAAGGCGTCTAGCCAAGTTAGTAGTGTGGGAGAAGTTGACTGAAGAGGATCTGTAAATATAAGTCTTTGGGGCTTGTTTTTTGCTCAATTAACATAGTTAATTCTCTGGTAGACCATTATTTTCATACCCATTTATTTATGTAAGATTTAATCCAGTGATAAGTGCCCATAGGAGTTATTTACCTCATAATATGTATCTTCTTGGAAAAATTCTGGTGATTCTTATCTACCTGTATTTCATTTATTGGTTTGTATGTTCCTTTGTTACCCCTTACTTAAGTATATTGCTTTGCTGATTAAGCAGTTGACTTATTTACCCTAGACATTTGTAGCTGGTAAGGGCGCATTTATCTTTATTTTACAACTACAAAAGCAGAAGAACCATACCCAGAGGTCAAGGGTCATAACAATTGGTGCAATTGTGAATACATAACTGGTGAGGTTATAATGTGACAAATGTATTGATAAACTTTGAAATAGTTAAATACTGAGCATAATTATTTACAACAGTGGTGTATTGAGTACCACAGTCACGGCTTTCAGATCTGTATTGGTCGGAGTGTATGAACAATGGAAAAAAAATTCAGTTCAAGATAAGTGGATGAAGCTTCAAAGTTTAC